TGTAAGCTTCAAGTGAATTATGGCTGCCTTTGTTTAAATACAGTTGTTAGTCCATTTGCTGTTCCAGCTGCTATTTAAGAAACACTTCTGTCGAGAGTTTGCAGTCCTGCAGGCAAAAGTGCGTTGTTCCTCTAACAATTTAGAGGGTGTTTGATGGAGCATTACATGACCAGCATTACAAGGAATATATAGCACTGTGAGAACTTAAGAGTGCTGTATGTGACCCATAGATATTATGGTAAAGTAGCAGCCCAAGTTCTGCTGGGGGATTTGGTAAGCAAATATCCCCTCTAATGAAATAGGATCATTTTTCATACCACTTTTCTTTCCCCTTTGGGACCTACTCAGACATCACACTGTCTCTAAATTATTAAATTAGGTCTTCCTTGATCATCCAAAGGTCATGGTGCCTAATGTGTGTTAATGTGATGGAAGTGTCAGACACAATTAATTTCAGTAGTAAAACATGGGTTTATAGCCCTAAATGCAATAAATTAAAGTGTACCGTGGACTGCTGTAGTCGGGGAAATTTCTGCACCATTAAGGCTTGATGAGGAAGTTCATGTCCTCTTTAGGTAGGAAGGGGGAGCACTGGGTAGAAGGTGGTATGATACGCTTCACCTGCATGATTGCTATTACTCCTCATTTGAGAGATTATACATCAAACAGACCTATAAATGCCACTTTCCCTCTCAGGCAAAGCCAGGCAGTAGAGTTTTACACTGTTTGCATGTTCTCTTTGCTGGTATCTTTATGCTGAGAACATTCCAAGGCACATTTTAAGCATCAAAACATCTTTAATCTTGACGCTAAGAAGAGTGCATGCTGTCAGAAACAGATCTGTTTCTATACAGCTTGCTACTGAATTTCAAACTTCTACTGTGAAAAATTCAGGTGTAAATAACTGTGCATGATAGAAGTGGATAACCCGGGGGGAGTAATAAAACTGACTAAATTGGTGTGCTCTGTAATCTGTCTAATGGAGCAAGATTTTACAATTAACTGTGAGTGTATTCATTTCCCGTCTGCAAGCAGGAGAAAAAACCCCATACACAGAAGAGAGATGGATCAATTTTAATTGAAACTTCTGGCAGCTCTGCTGTTGAAAGACAAAAAGCAATGTCTAACTGTGGTAAACATGATTGATAAATCAAAGACCCACCTGTACAAGCCCATTTACATTTGCAGTGTATCCTGAGTTGTTGAAAACTTGGAACAACTTTTACAGAAACAAATGCTTTCAGTAGCAAGGGAGTCAACAATTTTCCTCTATGAAAAGTGATCCTTCTGGGAAAAATATTGCCCTCCTAAGTGGCCATTCAGTGTTTTTAATAGTCCTGTATTATTCATGAGGAATCATCTCTCATGGGTTGCGGTTTCAAAATGGAAAAAGAGGCTTCCTCTTCCCTGAGAAGAAGGAAGAGACTGTGCAAATCTGTTTGTACATAAGAGAAGTTGGCCAAATTTGGATGTCTGGCTTTTTCTGACAGAGAAATTCTCTTTGGTTGAGTACAAAAATGGAAACCTTGAATCAAAACCTTCAAATCTGACAGAGTTTGTGAGGAACAAACTATTCTCACTGCAGCTTGATGGTTCTTATTTCAGTGTCATGCAGTTTTTCAGGGAAATCTGAAATATGATACAAATAATGGGAGGCATATTTAATTCTGAGGCAAAGATGACTAGAAAAAGTAGAGAACAGTAGACAAATCAGAAGAGTGAGACTGAAAAAGACTAAATACCTTAGTGGTCCCTTTGGGAGCAGGTAATCAAATGTATAAATAGAAACTCAGAGTGCTGATTAGGAGATGGAAGTGAAGAATTGATGGAAGGGAAGATAAAATTTAGGATGAGTATCAAATTGAACTTGACTGTAGAAGTCAATATTGCCATGAACAGCAGTGTTCTAGTATATAAACAGAAGAACTTGGTGTAGGAAGGCTGTTCCACAGTGATTAAAGTGCACTGGAAAACCTCTGCTTTGGTCTCTGCACTTTTAAAAATAAGGCAGGTGACTGCTTCACAACAAGGAAAATCAAACCTGAGAGATCTAATCCAAGTAAAAAAAGCCCTTTTCCTCTTACTTCTATAAAGAATGCCTGGCACACTACTGCCATCATATAAAGTTAGAAAACAAGACACCTGAAGTCAACTAGTAGTCTGAGTTCATGCTGTGTAAAAAAAAAGACAGTGTTTATTTTTTTTCATCCACAAAGGAATGAAGCTTCAGAAATGGTGAAGGAACCCAGTGCTTTTCTTGAAGCTTTAAGAATATTCAGTTCCAACTTTTAGCTTTTAGTTACAGTAAAAAAGCAGTCTGAATACAGAACAAAAAAAAGGTCGTGCTACACTGGCAACAAGGACAGTAACCAAGCCTTTCCAAAGCTATCAGTAACAGCAGATGTTGGAGGCAAATCTTGCCTAATATCAATCCATTCTTTGACAAAACCGGAATTTGCAAAGATTGAGTTTCTTTTCAAGGCATCTTAAACCGTTTGCTTACAGATGGGATATTTTTTATTAGGGAAAACCTTGACTCTGTATTTTGACTGAGAAATACAGAATGCTAGTCCTTGTAGGATATTTGTCTCCAAACGATCTGGTGGTAGATCTCACTAGATTGCTTCTGTTTTGTGGGTTTGGATTTTGTGGGATTTCTTCCTAATGTCGATACTAAATGTATTTTTGAAAAACAAAAATAAAAAGGCCTATGTAAAACACAGTATAGCCCTTAATCTACCAAAGTGCTTCAGCAACTAAGGATCTCATTGGTTTTAATATGATAATTTCAGGATTTCAAGATAAGTATGTGCACCAAGTGATTTGTGAAATCAAGGCCATGTTAGAGATGTTATCTGAACTGATTTATTGTTAGAGCCATTTAATTTCAGTGCTGTAGGGTGGTGGGTTTTGCCATAATTTTAGGGGTTTTGTTCTGTTTTTTTAATTTAAAACTGTGAAATGCCTAGTAAAGAAAGGATTACAAGCTACAGAGTAGAAAACATTATGATTGTGATCACCCTTTGTTTATGACAGGAGCAGTTATAGGCAGTCCTTGCATACTTCAGAGGATTTGATTTTGCTTTCCTATTGAGTCAGCACATATTCTCATCACCCCTGTTTTTCTAAGAAGAGAAATCAAGGCACACTGTGTGTAAACAACCTATCCACACCCTGTGGAATGACACTAGCAGGAGCAGGAATGCAGTCCACTGTTTGAATCCAACCTGCACACAACCAGCCCTGAAGCATCTCCAAAGTCTCAGTAGAAATGTCCTTTAAATAAACCTGGATTAACCAGTGCCAAAACAATTATAATGCTGTTATCTGCAGTTCCAGGAATGACTGTTGTTCCTCTGGGACTTAAAGATTGTGATTTTTACCAAGTAAGGTAGGAGATTACCTCAGCTCCAAACAACTGGATGAGTAGTCCATAAGAACAGAGACCTCCTGTTCAAAAATGCCCTATGCCACAAATCTACATTTTTAAGATCACTGTTATATTACTCTTTCCTCCCAGATATTTTCCCATAGTGTATTGAATAAAAAACATGAACATCCAAAAGCATTCTAACATGACTGTGGAAAAAGCCCCTGAGACAAAATTATATGCTGTATGTTAATGATACTGTGCACAGGAATCATCAACACCATCCTGTTTAGGAGATTGGCACTCACTTATAAAGTTCTTTACTGGTTAGTGTTTTGCATAATTTTACATGTACAACGTGAAATCTCTGCCCTGTTAACTCACACTGTAAAGTACCCCAATTGAGTCCCCTTTTCAATTCTAAGATCAAATTCCTGATGGTTTATGCCTTCTCATTGTGTTTTTGCTTTGAGCTGCTTGTTGCCTTCTCAGGAGACAAGAGTTTGTTAAATTTTCTTGTGGTATTTTTGAGCTTAATGTGCAGTTTCCATCCAGACCCACAGTTTCTAAGAGGCCAATGAAACCTAAAGGAAAAAATAAAGCTTACTGTCTGTAGGTTGAAAGGTTATCAAGCAGGAGTCCAGCATAACTGGAACATGTTAAGAAATTTAAAAATAAAAAAAGTTGACATCTGTTTGCCTGACCTCATTCTTGTAACTTCTTAAAAAATTGATCCCTTCATTTCTTTCAATGTAATGGGAACTATAAGGAAGAAAATTTGCTGTCTAATGATGGTTTTACTTACTCAGAGAAACTTTTCCTAGTAGAAGTTTACAAGGAAGTACACAGTACAAGTACTGAGTATTTCCAATCCCAGGCTGCAGACTGCCCCCAGGATGCTTAAAATTTGGCTAGGGTTTGTTGCAAGATTCAAAAAGAGCTTTTTAGGAAATCTATCCAGATTTCCTGAAAGATGCTCCCATGTCCATGTTACTATCTTGACTTCCATCTGTTTGTGATAAGAGTTGAATTCAGTCAGCCTCACTGACCTGGAGTTCATTAAGGTGAGGTTTGTTGGTTTGCCCTCTCTGTAACCAAATGGGATATTATTTTTGGTACCGGGTGACTTTAAACCTTGCTAGCTGTTCATATGGCACAACAGAATGAGTTATCTGTAGCCTTTCCATTTCTCTCACCCCAGTGTGTGCTGCAAAACAACAGTATTATTCTTTTTAATTCTTGTAAGAAATCAAGATTGCAAAGAGGAACTTAAGACTGCAAGGAAAAAAAAAGAACCGGAGGTTTAAATGAGGCACAGCAAGGATTTTAAGTCTGTTCCTCTTAGGTCTGTATTTTGGCATTCTGACTCTTGGCCAGCATATGTCCCTGTTCAGCAGAAGGATTCACTCAAGCAATCTGTGCTAAGACTTGTCAAAGTCTAAATTAAAATGCAGCTATCTTGTTTTTTTTTTTGTCCTAAGGTTTTAGAGCATGTTTCCTGACAGTAAACTAGAGGGCAACAGGGGGTGAAGCATTTGTTTTGGTGATAATTGAGAGCATTGATTACATATTTTACATCTTGGACATCTTTTCATCTGTGAATGAAAGTTTTATATCATTTTTGTCTTAGGAGAAAGAGAGGCTGGTGATAAGATGGCTTCCACAAAGGGAGAGACCCTCTAGCATAATTGTCTTTTGAGACAAATGTAAGTGTGCTTCTCTTTCTAATTAGTTGCATTTATGATCATGATTTGGTGTATGTCTCTTAATCCATGGAATCTCTGCAGAATGGTATCAGACTTTTGTCCCATGGCTCCTAGCTGCATTACATTTTATTACAATCACCTTCATTATGTGAAAACCTCTTAATTATGCTCGAAGTACTTTGAAGTTGAGAACAGTGCTGTAATGAGTCCAAATGTATATATGATATTTTCCCAAATGGCACAAAAAAAGGAAAAGTACGAGGCAGTGTAGGAACATATAGTGCTGTGTAACTTGAGGAGTTGAGTTATTTCAGGGAGCAGAACTGTTGACTGGAATTCAGATCTCATAAATTTGGCTCCCTGTGCTGCAGCTGACTAGTTGAGTGACCTTAGGGAGTGTGCTTATTCTTTTTATACATTTTCCCCTTTGACAGAATAAGAATAACGTGACCACAGAGAGGCACGGTGAGGATTAAATCATATTTTCACAAAGTGCTTGTGGATCCTCTAAGAAGGATGTGTATAAATGAGACTATTTATTATTTCAGCATTTTAATCTTTTGAAGGGCATATGTGTTGATAGATGCTGTCACCTTAGATGCATACAGGTGTAATAAAATTACAGATAACGTTTTCCTAAATAGAAATATTATTGACATTGTGAATCTGCAGTTCTAGGGAATTGGGCAAAATTTAGAGTTGCAGGTGTAGTGATAGTTATCACAGAAGTGTGAATCTCAAATATTGTCCCTGAGGAGAGATTCACAGGGTCTTCCAAGACTTTTAGGAATGAATATGGCAAGCTGGTTTGCTTTGTTCGCTAGGGTTCTTACATTTATTCTTTGATCTTTTAAAATACAAGGATTGGTATTTTAGTCTTAAATGCTCTTTGGATTACATTTTGTTTTTTAGCTTTAAAAGTAATTAATTGAATGAAAGCTTGTGTTTGTGTTCTGTTGGGGCAGAGCAGGCGAGAGACAGAAACTGAATGCTAAAAGCTGTTTTCAAGATGTACTTGTGAGATGCTACAAAGCTGACCATTACAAAAATCCTCATATTAGCTTAGCAAGAAGTGCTCCCTGTTGTTCAGAAAATTGCAACTTTTTAAAAGCACTCTGGCCTCAGAAAGCAACCATAATAGCCAATACTGACAGATGGTACTGAAGACAGGCAGGGAACCAACATGGTTTTGATAGTTTACTCCCATTACAAGCTCTCTCAGTGCATGTCTCGTGGGTTAATTGCTTGAGCTCTCACAGAAGGAATCCTGGCTTGTGGTGCAGCAGCTTGTCGCAAGATGTGGTAAGAAATCACACAGGATTCTGAGCCCGGAGCCTATGAATGTGTGTCACCCTGGTAACCGTTTGCACCTGCAAGCGTGAGTCATAAGAGCTGAGGAACTGCAGGGTGGATTTTTTTGTAGTCTTCTGAGCATCAGAAACTCTTCACAGACAAAGCCACGTAGACTAGAAAGGAGCTCTATTTTGACATTCCATTTGCTTGGTGGGCGTGACCAAGGGCACCTACTTTGGTTGTCTCTGTTCCACTGTGGGGTGCAAGTACACTGACTAAGGGTCTGCCTCCTTCGTCTGCCTTACACTGTTGTAGGTGGTGATCATTGTGTCTGTACTTGATATGTAGGCAAACAAGGCAGAATTTGTCAGTAACAGCAGCATTTCATTTTTTAGGATTGTCAGACACTTGTTAAAAAAAAACGTAAAGACCCTTATTGTAGTCTAAGAAAGTCACCAGTCAAAAATAAAGAATATCTTAAAATTCAGAGCCAGTACCGGCTACATACTGATAAACTGGTGTTTTATTCTGCAGATATCTTTCTAATAAGAATGGTATTTATCCTCTTAGAAAACCCATTTGATTTGAGGAGCAGGCACTTATAAATTGGATAGCTTCAGTGACTTTAGAGGGGAACTGACAATTAACACCAGCTGAGGATTTGTTCTTGAAAGTTTTACCAAGGAGATATTGCAGTCTTGTAGCACCTTTCATTCCCGTGTCTCACAGTGATTTGCAAACATTAATTAAGTCTCATAGCACCCCTCTGATGTGTGTAAGTGTTGTTAGTCTTAGAGATTTAGAGACGTGTGAAATATTCATGACAAAATTGGAGGCATTCAAAGTTTACCCCCGTCACAAACTCAAGGATATTAAGTTATTTGAGGTTATCTGCATCAGAGAACTTGTCTTTTTCCTCTCATTGCATATATCTGTTCACAGCCAAAATATCTATAATGCTAGTGTGTAGCCTTCTTGTTATTGTTCAAATTTTCATCGGGGTGACTGCTTTTCTTTCACGTAGCTGTGTTTTATTTCTTTGCACCTCCTAATTAACCAAATCTAAATAGTTGCCCGCAGTAAAAGGAAATCAGATGAGTGACAGCTTGTCTACTCAAGAAAGCTGCATCTTCGGGTAGAATTTATCTGGGCAGGTTTATAGTGAAAGTGTAGTGGGAGAAGGAAGTTGTAAAGTAGGAGAACTTACTATCGTTTGATTCCACCATAACTATAAAGGAATATTTTCCTCTTTATACCACTGTGGGTGTGTCTGAGTTAGTGGTTCAGATGAATATTGGGCTTCTGAAGTCAATCTCCACTCCCCATACTTTAATTCATATCACAGAGAAGTCATAAACTGATGAACTGTATTTCTTTGGGAGGAAACTGAACTAGAAGATGTCCCCCAGCCACAAGTGGGCCATAAGTTCATGGGACCATGAGACCCAGAAGGAGATGTTTTGTTTCCCAGATTCACTCCTCTTGTTCTGTGCTAATGGGTACCTACTCCATAGTCCCAAATATTTCCTCTCTAACAAACTTTGTCTCTCCCTGATATTTATGAGGATGACCAGAGTTAAAAGAACCAGTACAGCTCTTCTTTTAGGTCTCCTTCACCCTACATGGTATGGAGGGGATGTCAGAGTGAGTCGAGCGACCCCGTTTATTTTCTGCACTATGCTTTTTTGTTTCAGCTTATGTAGGAGTCTGATTTGTTTACTCTCTGTACCATTTAAGCTTTGTTTGTTTTGTTTAGTAAGTAATTTTATTTTCCTTAAAACTAGTTTGCATGTTGTTGTGTAGCTCTATAATAGTTTGGGCTTTGCTGATCTAACCATGCTATGGTTAAGCTGCACGTTTTCTAGATTGTTGGTGCTCTCTGATTTGATACAGTTTTTCGGCATAATTGAGCATAATTGAGCAAGCAGCAGGAAGGGGAAGTAATGGCTACTGAGAAGAAGGTTTTGTTGGAGTATTAGGACTGCTCACATTATCCACTGGACTGTGATCTCACAAGTATAGAGCAAAGAGGACTACAGTGAAACTAATATACAAGATACTGAATGATTCATTGCTTCCTATGTCTGCTATAACCCATATAATTTATCACAACTGTCTCTGTGAACTTTGTTCACTGTATTAGAGTCACAAAGCCCTAAACCTTCAATTTCAGAAAGCAGGTGAAGTGGTGTGTTGAAGTACTTTGGGGGCTTTTCTTTAGGAATGGCTGACTTTCCTAATGAAAATTGTTTAAGAAAAAATTCCTATTCCTATTTTCAGGACATTTTGCACTACATAAGCATTTTAAGATAGGTAATGTCCCTTAATATGCTGTCTTATTCAATTGGTTTGATGAAGCTCCAAAGGTGGAAGATTGAATTAGTATGCAGAACACTGAAACAAAACTCCAAACAACCAGAAAAAAGTACAGTATTTTAGTAGTCTGTCCTGCTGTGTAGCTCAGTGTCAAAAAAAACCCTCCCTGCCCACACACGCACATCACAAAGTAAGTAGTTTGATTGTTATTTCCATTTGATTATGGTTAATGGTTTGTGATAATGAAATTTCATATCATCAGGCAGATTTACCATATCTGTGGATGGCAGAGGAGAAAAGGAGGCTTTCTAGCCTTGTGAACATATGTGACTGTGCTGGTTGTTAATCCTTTTTTTGTTTAGATGTCCACTGCATGGAATTTGATGGGTTAGCAGAATTTGGGAGACATTTTTTTCTCTTTGATAATTTACCAGTGACATTTTCCCAAAATACTAATACTCTGCATCTGCCAAAAAAATGCAATACATAATTATTCAGTGGTAAAAATAATTTTTAAAAAATCATATTATCTTTTACTTCTTATTAATAGAGTGATAGTGGTACTGAACTACTACTCATGAAAGATTACAAACAGCCTGCTGGAAATCAATTGCAGATTTCCTTGATCAGAAAATTATACACTGGCTGAAGGTGTATTTGAGCCATGAATGGTCACACTCTGCAGTTCTAGTGCTGGAGTTGAGCTCAGAGTGTTTTCTACCAGGTACTTTGGGATTCTGTTTTGGACCTGTCTGTCTCTGTAAGGGACTGTATAATGATGGCTGAGCACCATTTTCCCATCTTGGAACTGTCAGGTAATTCTGCTGAGAAGGATATATGGGAAATTACATCAGTTCATATTATAAGCCTAGGGACATTCTGCAGAAATGTTCTGCTGAGTCACCCTGGTAACCAGCCCAAATGCAAATCACAGTTCTGCAAAGGAAAATAAAAGTCAGGACAGAAGGGCAGGTGGTTCTCTGGCAAGAAGGAAAACCAACCTATCAAACCCAACAGGCTACAGTGGCACTTTGAGTGCAGCTTTGGGACAAGGAGGAGCAAAATGGGGTGTTCTGCAACTGAATTTTTTGGAAGAGAAAGATGAAACAAGCTTAGATGCAACCTTTCAGCTCCCTGATACATTGAAGAGGCTGTCACCTATGCAAATATTAGTCAGAGAAGAGAAAACTGAGTATATTTTGTAGCTGTTGATTTTAAATGACAAAAACAAGGAAAATTTTAATTTCTAGGTCCACATGGTAGGCATAATGTTGTGTTGAACCATAATCATTAATTTGAAGAAGAGCATTGTGTTTGGATCTAATCTAGTTAGGATCAGTTCCCTTTTTAGCTACCACTGTATTTTAAAAAGGCAATTTTTCAACTCTTTG